AACTATTCTTTAAAAAATCCACGCCTTGGTTAGGCCTTGAAAAAACTATTCTTTAAAAAATCCACGCCTTGGTTAGGCCTTGAAAAAACTATTCTTTAAAAAATCCACGCCTTGGTTAGGCCTTGAAAAAACTATTCTTTAAAAAATCCACGCCTTGGTTAGGCCTTGAAAAAACTATTCTTTTGAAAATCCATGCCTTGGTTAGGCCTTAAAAAAACTATTCTTTAAAAAATCCACGCCTTGGTTAGGCCTTGCAAAAAATATTCTCAAATCCACGCCTTGGTTAGGCCTTGAAAAAATATTCTATAAAAAAATACACACCTTAAAAATATTTTTAAACCAGTAAGTCGGACGGTCGGACGGGGCCGACTATATGATACCCTTCACCACATTGGGTATATTCTACATATGCATCCTAACAGACGTCGCGCTTTTGTTATATATGTATATAACATCATTCTAGACTTAATACAGTACCATATACCAAAGTTCGAGGAAATCGAAAGATATATAGGGACTTTGGTGCACCATTTTCATAAAATCAGACGAAAATATATAGGGGAGCTATATCTAAATCTGAACCGATTTTCACAAAATTTAACACACATAATTCCAGACTTAATTCAGTACCCCAGGCAAACTTTTCTGCAAATCGAAAGATATATAGGGACTTTGGTGCACCACTTACATTAAATCGGATGGGAATATATATGGGAGCAGTATCTAAATCTGGACCGATTTCCACGAAACTTGGCAGACATCACTCTAGGTTCAATTAAGTATGCCTTGCCAAATTTCGTGCCAATTGATGGATATATGGGGACTTTGGTGCACCATTTACTTTAAATCGGACGAACAAATATATGGGAGCTATATCTAAATCCGAACCGATTTTCACGAAACTTAACACACATCATTCTAGACCTAATTCATTACGATGTGCCAAATTTCGTGCAAATCGAAAGATATGCAGGGACTCTGGTGCGCCATTTACATTAAATCGGAGAAAAATATATATGGGAGCTATATCTAAATCTGAAGCGATTTTCAGGAAATTTAACACACATCATTGTAGACCTTATTCATAACGCTCTGTCGAATTTCGTGCAAATCGAGAGATATACAGGGGCTTTGGTGCACCATTTACCTTAAATCGGACGAAAATATATATGGGAGCTATATCTAAATCTGAACCAAATTTCTTTTCAATAGGGTTCGTCCTTGTGCCAAATAAGTGAACTGTGCCAAATTTCATCCAAATCGGATCATAAATGTGACCTGTACTTTGTTAACAAAAATACATGGACGGACGGACAGACGGACATGCGTAACTCGACTCAGAAAGTGATTCTATGTATATTCTCAAAAGGAACCATGGTTCTATCTCGATTTATTTTGCCTATTACAAACATATGTAAAAAGACATAATACCCTGTACCATAGTGTGCTGAAGGGTATATATACCACGCCTTTGATAGGCCTTGAAAAAACTGTTCTTTAAAAAGTCCACGCCTTGGTTGGGCTTTGAAAAACTATTCTTTAAAAAATCAGCCCCTTAAAAAATTATCTTCAAAAATTTCACGCCTTTAGTAGGCCTTGAAAAACTATTCTTTAAAAAATCAGCCCCTGAAAAAATTATCTTCAAAAATGTCAGCCCCTGAAAAAATTATCTTCAAAAATTCCACGCCTTTAGTAGGCCTTGAAAAAATATTTTTTAAAATTCCACTCATTTAGTAAGCCTTGAAAAACATTTTTTTTAAATTCCACGCCTTTAGTAGGCCTTGAAAAAATATTCTTTAAAAAATCCACGCCCTCTATATCCACTGAATAATGTTTTTTTTTTTAAATAACGCCTTTTGTGGCCCTTAAATTTTTTCTCTTAATATAAGCCTTAAAAAAGGACTTTTAAAACTCGCGCCTTTTATATGGCTTGAGAAAAAATTACTTTTAAAATCTGGGTCTTATATAGGCCTTGAAAAAAAATTCTATTAAAAATCCACGACTTTTAGAAGCTTTGAAAAAATTTTTTAAATCCACGACTTATAACAACTTTAAAAAATATTTTTTTTAATACACTCCTTCAGTGAACTCCTGAAAAATATTCTGTTTTAAAATCCAAGCTTGAAAAAAGTTATTATTTAAAAATTTTGGCCTTCACTGGTCGCATGCATGATTGATATTTTTCCATTACACTAATTCAATTGTCATGATGACATTTCCTTTTGGAATGTCAACACATGTTCATATGTCAATGATCAATAAATTGCTTGGAAAATATTGTTATAGTTTTTCTTTCATATCCAACTAAATTTAAAAAAACCTTCCAAAAAAAGGGATCCATAATAAAATTCAATTATATTGAATTTATTAAAATTGGCGCTGTTTATCAAATAAAATCAGCAACAACAACAACAAAAACAACCTTTAATAACCATTAACAGTTTTTATACCAATTGTAAAATAGCCAATCCCCATTGGGCGCCATCACACAACAAATAATGAAAAATACCCGGCCATAAACAATGGAATTGAGTTGCAATAAATCGGTAATTTAATGTAAAATGCCATGGAGGTTTTGTGTTGTTGTTGTGTATTTCGACTAACAAAAATAATGCATTATTTTTTTGAGGATGTTTATTTTTATTGTGGAAATTATGTTGAATGTATTGGTGTGTGCTTTTTTGTTTGTGGTTGGCCCTTTTGATTGGTCAGAAAAAAAAAACAAAACAATAGGAAAATAAATACCGATTTCCACGATTGCCCTTTTTCATATGGAGGCAAAAAATGTGTTATTTGGAAATAGTGGGATGCCATGATGGCTACGTGACAGTGACACAGACGCAATCTCCCCAAACAAAAAAAGGAACTAATTACAGATTTTCATCCCCAAAGGAACATTTTTAAAGACTATGAGCTTCAATTTCCTTTGCCGTGTAATTATTTTCGAACGCACATGCTGTAATTACATTTATTTGGTATTTTTTGTTACTTCATCCAAATTGCAATGAATATAAAACTATATCGTTTCCGGTGACGCCATGCAATCATCCGTTAAGTCTATTTATCCGTGAAAGGTATTTAACTTTTAATGACTTCCGTAATGCCACACCATTTGGGGATGATATCCATCAAAGAAATAATTGTTGTTGCTGACACAATAACAACGGCTAATGTCAAGGTGACATTGGATTTTTTTGGGAGTTTTACACGTGTGTTCAGATTAATTTTAATCCGATTTTAAAAAGAAAAAAAAAATAATAATAATTCTTTTTAGCTCAATAAAAAAAAATATGGAAGGAAGAATATTTTTTTCAACACCTAAAAAAGGCGTGGGATTTTAAAGAACGTTTGTTGAAGACCCGAAACAGGAGTGGATTTTTAAAATATATATTTTTCAAGGTTCCTGTAAGGCATGGATTTGTAAAGAATATTTTTTCAAGGCCTTATCATGGCGTGGATTTTTTGAAACAATATTTTTTCAAGGCCTTACCAAGGCGTGGATTTTTTGAAAGAATATTTTTTCAAGGCTTTACCAAGGCGTGGATTTTTTGAAAGAAGGCGTGAATCTGTAAAAAAAAATTCCATTCCAATCCACACCAAGGCGTGGATTTTTTGAAAGAATATTTTTTCAAGGCCTTACCAAGGCGTGGGTTTTTTGAAAGAATATTTTTTCAAGGCCTTACCAAGGCGTGGGTTTTTTGAAAGAATATTTTTTCAAGGCCTTACCAAGGCGTGGATTTTTTGAAAGAATATTTTTTCAAGGCCTTACCAAGGCGTGGATTTTTTGAAAGAATATTTTTTCAAGGCCTTACCAAGGCGTGGATTTTTTGAAAGAATATTTTTTTTAAAGGCCTTACCAAGGCGTGGATTTTTTCAAAGACTATTATCGGAGGCCTATCCAAGGCGTGGATTTTTTCAAAGAATATAATCGGAGGCCTATCCAAGGCGTGGATTTTTTCAAAGAATATTTTTTCAAAGCCTTACTAAGGCGTGGATTTTTTCAAAGAATATTTTTTCAAGCCCTTACCAAGGCCTGGATTTTTTTAAAGAATATTTTTTACGGCCTTACAAAGGCGTGGATTTTTTGAAAGAATATTTTTTACGGCCTTACAAAGGCGTGGATTTTTTGAAAGGATATTTTTTTCAAGGCCTAACCAAGGCGTGGATTTTTTAAAGAATATTTTTTCAAGGCCTAACCAAGGAGTGGATTTTTTAAAGAATATTTTTTCAAGGCCTAACCAAGGCGTGGATTTTTTAAAGAATATTTTTTCAAGGCCTAACCAAGGCGTGGATTTTTTAAAGAATATTTTTTCAAGGCCTAACCAAGGCGTGGATTTTTGAAAGAATATTTTTAGAAGGCCTAACCAAGGAGTGGATTTTTTAAAGAATATTTTTTCAAGGCCTAACCAAGGCGTGGATTTTTTAAAGAATATTTTTTCAAGGCCTAACCAAGGCGTGGATTTTTTAAAGAATATTTTTTCAAGGCCTAACCAAGGCGTGGATTTTTTAAAGAATATTTTTTCAAGGCCTAACCAAGGCGTGGATTTTTTAAAGAAAAATTTTTCAAGGCCTAACCAAGGCGTGGATTTTTTAAAGAATATTTTTTCAAGGCCTAACCAAGTCGTGGATTTTTTAAAGAATATTTTTTCAAGGCCTAACCAAGGCGTGGATTTTTTAAAGAATATTTTTTCAAGGCCTAACCAAGGCGTGGATTTTTTAAAGAATATTTTTTCAAGGCCTTATCAAGGCAAAAACAATTTTATTAAAATTATTTACTATAAAATTGATTTTATTGTTAATGAACCATTTCTATTACTGCTTAAAGGTTCCCACCTCTCCATTTAACCTTTACAATGATTATGGCAGTTTTATTATTTTCACTTATCTCTTCGAATCGAATTAATCAACATCTATTCGGTCTATCTTAATTTCCGTTTGTTTATTGTTATTATTTCATTTTATCGATTAATAATAGTTCAATTTTCATTGACTGCGCTTACCTGCTGAAGTGGTGGCCACCACCGGAGCCGTGGATGTTGTTACTGAACTGGGATTGGCAAAGGTGCGTACCTGTGGACGAAAATTGAATTTCGCACCCGATGACTTGGCACCCATACCAATATTTTCCTGGTGTGATTTACCGCTACGCAGCACAATATAAACCTAAACATGAACAGAAACAAAAACAACAAAACCCATTAAATCACCTTCGGCCCAAAAATAATGTAATAAAATAACGGATAACCGAAAAAAATCATCGAAAGCAATAATTTCCGATAAATGGCATGCAATATAAAGGATATTTTTTTAATATCTCTTTTCTCTCTTTCTGGTTTATCTTAATGATTTGTGAAGGGGGATGGGGGACCCCCTACTCCTTGATAAATAAGTGCGAAAAAGAAAACAATAGAAATGATGAAATATTAGCTTACCTTACTGCCAAATATTAAGGCCAAGAGCAGTGTTATCGTTAATTGGGTATGACAGAAAAATATTATGTACAATAAATCCGGATTGGCAGGAGATTGCAGGAAGAGCCTGTAAGAGAAAAAAAGAAGAAAAAGGAAATAATTTTACAATTAAAAACATTTGTGATTGATGAGAAGCTATACAAGACAGCGAGACGAGAATAAAAGCAATGAGTTGCTATTGGGTGCAGCCTAGCGTATGAGTTACACAGGTGCTGAAGATAGAGTATACGCCACAGAACACTGCTGATATTTCACATACTTTTTATACACTGTGGTACAGGGTATTATGTCTTTGTGCATATGTCTGTAACAGGCAAAAGGAAACTAGATAGACCCATGGTTCCTTTTGAGAATATGCATAGAATCTCTTTCTGAGTCGATTTACGCATGTCCGTCCGTCCATGTATTTTTGTGACCAGAATACAGGTCGCATTTATGATTATGGGAAAGATCGGTTCAGAAAATGGCATTCTGAACAGAAATGACACTCTGTACACCAAACAACACATACTCGCCTACGCCGATGACATCAATATAATGGGTCGAACATTGCGAGCCGTAACAGCCACCTTTGAACAAATTGAAAAGGAGTCAGCCAAAGTGGTTCTGGCAGTAAACGGCAAGAAGACCAAGCTGATGGTATCAACGCGCAAGACGCCCAGTAGACTCGGAAAAACTGTGGAACTTGAGAACTACAGCTTCGAGGTAGTTAAAGACTTTATATACATTGGTACCGCCATAAATAAAACGATAGACATCAGTTTTGAAATTGGGAGAAGGATTGTGATGGCGAACAGATGCTACTATGGTCTAAGTAAGCAGGTTGGTAACAAGGCCACCTCCCGCCAGACCAAACTCACACTTTACAAGACGCTGATACTACCCGTATGGATCAGAAGCATGGGTACTTGCGCAAGCAGATGATACAGCTCTTGGGGTGTTTGAAAGAAAAATTTTCCGAAAGATCTACGGGCCGATCTGCGTCGACGGTGAATATCGGCATCGAATGAACCACGAGCTTTACCATTTATACGCGGACATCGACATAGTCAGTCGTATTGAGCTGCAGCGACTACGGTGGCTAGACCATGTTGTGCGGATGATGTGTGAATGCCCCAGCTCAAAAGGCATATAAAAACGAGCCATATATGGTTCCCGTAGAAGGCGAAGGCCACGAATTAGATAGAAAGACCATGTAGAAAATAACATCCTGGAACGTGGTCTTACAAATTGTTGGTTTTGCGCACAAGACCGACGCGCTTGGAAATCTTTTTTAAGCTCGGCTTATGGAACAACCGTTCTGTAACAAGCCAGCTAAGTAAGTAAGTTCAGATTTAGATATAGCTCCCATATATATTTTTGTCCGATTTAATGAGAATGATCCACCAAAGTCCCTATATATCTTTCGATTTGCACGAAATTTGGCACAGCGTAATGAATTTGGTCCAGAATGATGTGTGCTAAGTTTACCGAAAATCGGTTTAGATATAGATATAGCTTCAATATATATTTTCGACCGATTTAAGGTAAATGGTGTTCCAAAGTGCCTTAATATCTTTCGATTTGCACGAAATTTGGCACAGCGTAATAAATTATGTACAGAATGATGTGTGTTAAGTTTCGTGAAAGTCGGTTCAGATTTAGATATAGCTTCGGTATATAGTTTCGTCCGATTTAATGTAAATGCTGCACCAAAATCCCTATACACCTTTCAATTTGCACGAAATTTGGCATAGCGTAATTAAATAGGTCTAGAATGATGTGTGTTAAATTTCCTGAAAATCGGTTCAGATTTAGATATAGCTCCCATATATATTTTCGTCCGATTTAAGGTAAATGGTGCACCAAAGTCCAATTTAATTTTACTGGTCCTTTAAAAATGCGACATGTGTTAAGATTCATCTGTTCAGAATATAGCTCCCATATATAGTGGTGAAGGTATTTCATGCACCAAAGTCCCTATATATCTTTCGATTTGCACGAAATTTCCGTCCGACTTCACTTCTTTCCTTAATGGTTTATTTATAGTTTCCTTCTAAACAACTATATTGTGAGGGTTTTATAAATGTGTGTGGCCTCAAGAATTGATCCTAGGCTTTGGCCATGAAATATTGATCCTATCCCACCTTTAGTAAACCTAGTATACCATATCATGACTAGCGGAGTCGATCTAGATATTTCTATGTGTACGCCAATAGTTTTGACCGGTTCATATTTAGGGAATGAAATGAACTCACAAAACCATATTTATGAAGGGAAGATCTTCCACGAGGATGGAATCTGGTCAACTAAGTAAATTATATTTTGTCATAGAATTATATCCGCCTGTGGCAACCGACTGTATTCGAACGGAGCCAGGTCGATAGTAGAAAAAGACCATGTAAGACACCTATTTCAGCCGAATTGACTCTTATTTGATATTTAGGGATCTTGTTGGGTGGGAAATCTGCCCATTAAAAATTATCAATATGCTTCCCAATTTTCGGTATTTTGGGTATTTCGAGCACCTTTTTCAAACCAAATTCGAGGTAATTTTTGCTTTGAATTATATTTAACTAGAAAATCTCATTATAGAGAAATAGCAGTGTTGGCCAAGGTTTCAGTGTAGGTCCCACATAATGGTACGCCCCGGTTATTCAAAATTTTTGTCAACCGATTTTTGATTTTTCAGGTCCATAGGTCCCAAAAATTACCAATATTAGTTTATGTTTTTGTATAGCTCCCATAATAATTTAATAATTTAAACATTTAATTTATTTTATTTAATATTAAATAAATAATTTAATTAAGATTTAAAAACTACTTACATTGACACATTGAGGAAACACGTCAACAGGAATTCATTGTAAATTGCCATCGAGATGAAGCGGCTTTCATTAAATTCGGATGGTGCCTTGCGTACCATAATGCACAGGCGAACACCCCAGGCCAGGAAAACCACTTCCACTGCAAAACCACGCAAGCACACACACACAAAAGTAATGGAAAAGAAAGAGGGAAAGGAGAAAAAACAATGAATAAATGTTAAAGAAAAGCAGTGTAAATTATTTTGTTTAATTAAATTATTTTTCTTCTTCTTCTCCTGCATATTCTGCAAAAGCCAAAGAAATAATTGTCCTTTTTTCCGTTGTTGTTGTTATTGTTGCAGTCAATCATTCCCGTGTTATGAAATAAATTTTTTTTCTGAATGCACTTGGTCGTACGTATTGCGATTGTGTCTTTCTTAATAAGTCCTTGGTTGGTTGAGTGAGTGTGGCTGTATGTCTCTGTGTGAGTGATTGTGTGTCTTTGTGTGCGTGTGTGTGTTTGAGTGTATTCAATGTATTCATTAAAATTATCAGCAGCACTTCAAGCCAAAGTAGTTGAAGAAATAGCAGCAACCAGAAGTCAAGTAAGTGCAAAAAGATCCGAAGCAACATCAAACACTTCAAGTAAAACTTCACTTCATAAGAAGGAAATGACACGAATAAAAAAAGAGGAACAGAGAAAAAATTGCTACGCACTTTGTTGTTGTGTGAGTGTTTCATTTGCATTTGTAGAAAAAACCTCAGGGAATTTTTCTGTTGTAACTTATTCATGATTTTTTTGTGATGGTTTTACAGTGTTCTCAAGTGCGGAAGGGAGGTGTGAATTATTTTCATTTTAATTGAATTGATTGAAAGAAAATGTAGACAAAATATAAAAATTTTATTGTGACATCTGCATAAATCTATAGTAATAAAAGAGTAAAGTGATTGACTGACCGACTGACTGATTTAACGATTCATCAACGCCCAGACGAAACGGCTGAAGCTAGAATCTTGAAATTTTGGGTGGGCGTCATTCTTGGTCCAGAGGTGACAGATAAGGCTGGATTTTTGGAAAAAAGGACTGAATGTGATACCATTTGTATTTGGCGAACCGGTAGAGCTAGAACTTTGAAATTTGGGTCGGGGATCGCCGATGGAGTGTAGGATAGATATACCAAGGGGTTTTTGGAAATTCGAATTTCGTACAATTTCGTAGCATATGAATGGATAGAGCTGAAATTTGGAATGCGAATTAGGGTAGAGATGTAGAGTCTATTTAAGGAGGTGTTTTTGAAAGCGTGTACTCATGTTTACCAATAGTACTCTATGGTACTATATTTGGTACAAATTTAATATGGAGATACAAATCGAGCTGGTATCCTGAAATTTGAAATTAACATTAACGTCGGAGTGTAGGATTGGGATATGTACGTAGTTTTGGAAATTTCTTACTTATGTGTACGAAAAGTTCTAAATCGTACTATAATTGGTACAATTTGGATTTGGGTGGACCGATAAAGCGCGAACAATGAAACTTGGAGTCAGGATCATTGTAGGCGTGTAGGATTTGGGGTCAGGTCCCAGTTTAAGACATTATTACTTATGTGTACCAAATGGTACTAAATTTGGTACAATTTGAATTATAGGTGAACCAATAGAGCTAGAATCATGAAATTTGGAGTTAGGATCATTGTTGAGGTGTAAGATTGATATATGTAGGAAGTTTTTGAAATTTGTACTACCTTGTACTAAATTTGGTACAATTTGAATTGTGGGTCAACCGATAAAGTTGGAATTCTAAAACTTGTATTTAGGATGAATGAGAGAGTGTAGTATTGGGGTATGTAGGAAGTTTTAGAAATTGGTACAACTGTGTACTAAATTTGGTACAATTTGAATTGCGGTGCACCAATAGAGTTGGAATCCTGAAACTTGGATTTAGGATGACTGTGGGGGTGTAGGATTGGTGTATGTAGGAAATTTTGGAAATTGGTACAACTATGTACGAAATTTGGTACAATTTGAATTGTGGGTAAAAAAAATAGAGTTGGAATCCTGAAACTTGGATTTAGAATCACTGTGAGACCGTAAGTTTGGGTTAAGTAGAAAGTTTAGGAAATTCGTACTACGGTGTACTAAATTTGGTACAATTAAAATTGTGGGTGAACCAATAGAGTTTGAATCTTAAAATTTGATGTTAGGATCATTGTTGGGGTGTAGGATTGGGCTTCGTGGAAAGTTTTGGAAATTCGTAAAAAAAATTTTATTTTAAGTGAACCAACACAGCTGGATTCCTGAAATTTGGAGTTAGGGTTATTGTTGGGGTGTAGAATTGGGATATGTAGAAAATATTGGAAATTTGTACCAAATGGTACCAATTGTGGAATAGGGGAACCGATAGAGCTGGAACACTGAAATTTGGAATTAAGATCAGTGTTGTTTTGTAGGATTGGGACAGGTAGGAAGTGGTACCCTATTTGGATTTGATTGAACCGATAGAACTAGAATCTTGAAATTTGAAGTTTTAATCACTGTTGGGGTGTAGGATTTTGTCATGTAGAGTGTCATGTGTTGTTTTGGAAATTCGTACTAATGTGTACTAGTTGGTACCAAATTGTGGTTAGGATTATTGTTGTGTGTTGGATTAGGGTATATAGGAAGTTTTGGAAATGTCTACTGAATATGGTATAATTTGGATTAAGAGTGAATAGATAGAGCTGGAATCCGAAAATTGAGTAATATGTTTTCCATTGGATTGCATCATGTAGGCATCATGTAGGTAGAGCAAGTCGAACTTTGAATACCATCCACCATAGGTATGCTAAGAGGTACTTGGAATGAAAATATTGGGAACATACTAAAAAGTGGACCTATACCGACGATTCATAAAATCTGAACTTTGAAAAAATATTTTTCCAAATAAAATATTTTTGGGACCTTGAAAAAATGTTTTTTGTTTAAGCCACGTCTATGTTTGGACCTTGAAAAAATATTTTTAGAAAATCCACGCCAATGTTGGGACACTTTTTTATCCCAGCCTATGTTTGGACCTTGAATAAATATTTTTAAAAAATCCATGCCAATGTTGGGACCTTGAAAAATATTTTTTAAAAAATCCACGCCTATGACTATGACCTTTTAACCACTGTCTTACTTTCGACCATTGTGGAGTAAATCTATTATGGTCATATAACAATAGACAGATGTGACAATGGTAGAAGAAAAATGTAGCATTCCAACTTATGTACTTTAAGTCTCCCTGATAGTTTCCTCTCCAATTCCCTCTCATCCCCTTTCTACCCTTCTTTAATAACTTTAAAGTTTTATCCCGGTCCAGTAACTCTACTCCAGTCTTTGCAACGCTTCGCCAGTCTGTAACCAACCTAAAGTAGTATGACTTGTCAGAAGTGAGACAGCTTCGTCATCACTAACCCAAAAAAGAAAACCTGATGAACACTTATTGTCATTAGGAAAGTTAAATAGAATGAAAAAAAACCGAGAAGATGAAACCTAAGAGAACCTGGCTATGAGCTTCAAGGATATTGAGCTGCTTTTATACATTTCTGCGTGTGTGTGTGTTTGTGTTTACAGCAAAACTTCATGGGTTGTATTTAGGAGAGAGAAATTACTACAACTACTACTACTAAAGAAAACTTTACACACTTTGCCTGACAAAAGGTGTAGTTAAACGCAACACAGGGGGGGGGGGGTGTGGTGAAGGGAACAATGAAGGTACGAAACTGCCATAAAAATGAAATGTCACTTCACACAGTTTTACTTTTCTTAACTAAAAAGAAAAAAAAACAGTAAGGAAAGTAGTGTAGTCGCACGGGGCCGGCTATGTGATACCCTTCACCACTTTGGGTAAATACAAGAGATACTCATATGTACAATATCCTGAAGAATGACGAAATAAAATTTGTGGACTAGATAGACATTTGAACCACATATACACATACAATTCTGAAATCTTTGGAAAATTGCATGTTAATCGAACGGACTGGGGTTCTTTGATGGACCATTTGTATGAAATCGAGCACTATTTTGTTTGGGAGCTATATCAAAGGTTATTCTAGGTTTAATTTGATTAAATCGGAGGAAAATATATGGAAACTATATCTAAATGTGGACCGATTTTTACGAAACTTAACACACATCATTCTAAACCTAATTCAGTACACTATGTCAAATTTCGTGCAAATCGAAAGATATATAGGGTCTTTGGTGTACCATTTACATTAAATCGGACGTATATATATATGGGCGCTATATCTAAATCTGAACCGATTTTCACGAAACTTTACAAACATCATTGTAGGCTTAATTTAGTACGCTATGCAAATTTTCGTGCAAATCGAAGGATATATCGAGACTTTGGTGCATCATTTACATAAAATCGGACAACAAATATATTGGAGCTATATCTAAATCTTAACCGATCTTATATCTAAATCTTAACCGAAACTTTGCACACATCAGTCTAGGCTCAAGTCAGTACGCTGTGCCAAATTTCGTGCAATTCGGAAGACTTATAAGGACATTGGTGCAACATTTACCTTAAACCGGCCGAAAATTTATATGGGAGCTATATTTAATCGGAACCGATTTTTACAAAACCTAACACACAGCATTCCAGACTTAATTCAGTACGCTATGCCAAATTTCGTGCAAATCGAAGGATATATAGTGACTTTGGTGCACCATTAAAATTAAATCGGAGGAAAATATATATGGGAGCTATATCTCAATCTGAAGCGATTTTTACAAAACCTAACACACATCATTCCAGACTTAATTCAGTACGCTATGCCAAATTTCGTGCAAATCGAAGGATATATAGTGACTTTGGTGCACCATTTTTCTTAAATCGGACGGAAATATATATGGGATCTATATCTAAATCTGAACCGATTTTCACAAAACTCAGCACACATCATTCTAGGCCAAATTCATTACGCTGTGCAAAATTTCGTGTAAATCGAAAGATATATAGGGACTTTGGTGCACCATTTACATAAAATCGGATGAAAATATATATGGGAACTATATCTAAATCTGAACCGATTTTTACGAAATCTAACACACATCATTCTAGACTTATGTTAGTACGCTTCGGAAAATTTCGTGTAAATCAAAGGATATATAGGGACTTTGATGCACCATTTACTTTAAATCGGACGAAAATATATATTGGAGCTATATCTAAATCTGAACCGATTTGTACGTTACTTTGCACACATCAGTCTAGGCAGAATTCATTACGCTGTGCAAAATTTCGTGTAAATCAAAGGATATATAGGGGCTTTGGTACACCGTTTATATAAAATCGGACGAAAATATATATGGGAGCTATATCTAAATCTGAACCGATTTTTACGAAATCTAACACACATCTTTCTAGACTTATTTTAGTACGCTGTGCAAAATTTCGTGCAAATCGGAAGATTTATAGGGACTTTGGTGCACCATTTACCTTAAATCGGATGAAAGTATATATGGGAGCTATATCTAAATCTGTACCGATTTTTACGAAACTTTGCTCACATCAATCTAGGCTGACTTTAGTACGCTATGCAAATTTTCGTGCAAATCGAAAGATATATAATGACTTTGCTGCACTATTTACCTAAAATCGGATTTCCAATTTCAATGGGGCCCGTCCTTGGGCCAAATAAGTGAACTGTGCCAAATTTCATCCAAATCGGATTATAAATGCGACCTGTACTTTGTTCACAAAAATACATGGACGGACGGACAGACGGACGGACATGCGTAAATCGACTCAGAAAGTGATTCTATGCATATTCTCACAAGGAACCATGGGTCTATTTCGTTTCCTTTTGCCTGTTACAAACATATGCCCAAAGACATAATACCCTATACCACAGTGTGGTGAAGGGTATAAAACACACACAAAGTTTGTAAGGTAAAGGAATACTAAACTGGCAGTTTGCTTGACAAAATTTTTACATCTTTGAGTTTTGAGGAGTCGACGAACTGTTGAAGTGTCCTGTCTACTGTCCTAGCCCAAACGGATGAATGAATTAAAGAAGTGACGTTGTGTTTTTTTGGTTCAAATATTATCTTCTTGATTATTGTAATTAAATTTAGGGTAGAGGTTGTTGAAAGTTACAGCAACAGTTTGTTGATCTGGGTCGTAATTATTTTAAAAATGTAGTTTTGAGGGGATATGAGTTATTAAAAATTTGAATAGAAATGCCTCTTAACAGCTGAGGAGGATATGATCATCAACAACAAAAAGGCTCTAGAGGACAATATTAAATGGACCTTGACTGCACCTTGAACAAATATATTTAAAAAATCCACGACTATGTTGGGACTATGTCGTTGGCCAGCTAAGTACTTCGCTTTGTTACAAGATACATTTGGGTATGAAAGGTTTTTTGTATAGAAGCAATAGCTTCTGGGGAGAATATCCCAACAAAAAACTGATGAGGATCAGTGGCGTGATCCGAAACTATAGTCTTCCCTGCCTAATATTTTGAACAAATCCACGCCTTTGTCAGGACCTTGAAAAAATATTTTTAACAAATCCACGCCTTTGTCAGGACCTTGAAAAAATATTTTTAACAAATCCACGCCTATGTCAGGACCTTGAAAAATATATTTTTAACAAATCCACGCCTTTGTCAGGACCTTGAAAAAATATTTTTAACAAATCCACGCCTTTGTCAGGACCTTGAATAACTATTTGAAAAAATATTTTTAACAAATCCAAGCCTATTTCAGGACCTTGAAATTAAATTTAATAAATCCTAACTGGACCTTAAAAATAAAAAAACTTTAAAAAAATCTGCGCCAATAGCTGGATCTTGAATTACAGCTCCTTTGTACCATAATTACACTCCGAATATACATTGCGATTATTACAATATACCATACCAAAATTAAAACACACAATTTAAGCCCCTATCTCATCGCAGTCACAATAAATTCATACCATAAATATCCCGCATAAATAAGTGCCGGTTCTGTGTTTTTTGTTTCCTTAGTAATTTTTATAGTTAAACTCCGCCAGCAAGAATGTGGAAAATTTACAATGAAATTACATTTAACATACAGTGATGTCCTTTTGTTATAATAGAAGAAAAGAACAACAACAGCAACAACAAACTACAAACTGGGACAATCTTTAAAGTTAACGTTAATGTCTGGTGATAAATCAGGATTTTTATTATGTGTGCGCTCCACATCGCACCACATATGTAGAATATTTTTAAAACACACAAACACACACTCACACACATACATACGTTACTTCACTACTTACTTGATGTAAATGTGTAATCCCACCAATCGGTTTTACATAAAAATGCCTTCAGATCATCCGCTGTCCTTCCGACCACAACATCGGGCGGTGAGACCAGAGTTCGCACCAGCAGACATGTGCCAATGGCGCCACAAATACAGCCCAAACGTTTTAGTAGAGCAGCATCCGTTATTTTAACAGCTTTAGCTGAGCGAACACGAAATATTACCGAGATACTGGATGCCGAGAGGGGAGGTTTGGAGGCGTCAAGGCAGGCAGGCAGGTTGGCCGTCGAGCGTGTGTGTTCAATGAAGTGTATAGCATTAAGGGAAGACAAAAAAACAAAAAGACCAAGAAATAGAATCAGAAGAAGAATTGAAATAAGAAAAATACAATTTAATTTCAATGTTTTTCCTAACAATATGTTTTTTTGTGACAAATAGATGTAGAATGTGTGTATGTGCAAAGAGTTGTAGGATAGATACACTGCAAGAATTTTGAGAAGAAAAAATGTCCACAAAATTCGCGGCTTTGAAAAATATTTTTAAAAAAAACACTCCTTTGATAGGCTATTGAAAAGATATTTTTTAAAAAATCCATGCCCTTAAAAGACCCTTAAAAACTTTTTTTTTTTAATCGGCGCCTTTGATAGACCCTTAAAAACATTTTTTTTAAATCCACACCTTTGATAGACCCTTAAAAACTTTTTTTCTAAGTCCACGACTTTGCGGGGCTATTGAAAATATATTTTTAAAAAATCCACGCCTTTGGTAGATCCTTAAAAAACTTGTTTTTTAAATCCACGCCTTTGATAGACCCTTAAATTTTTTTTCTAAATCCACGCCTTTGCTAGGCTTTTGAAAAGATATTTTTTTAAAAAATCCACGCCTTTGATAGGCCATTGAAAATATATTTTTTAACCAGTGAGCGGAGCAGTATAGTCGCACGGCGCCAACCATACGATACCCTACAAAACTACGACGGAACTTTAACTTTCTACGGATTTTATTCCGAGCCTGTGCAATATTTCGTGATATCTGTACCCTATTGATCGATTAGAGATCAACAGCACCTCTTCCTTACACTGACATATTTTCCGAATATTCCCAATATTCTGTACAGCCCTTCTAATTGCTTGTCCAGATTCCCTTCACCGTGGGATGTGTTGTGATGTTAGGCTTATAATTGTAGCCTATAGATCGACTCTAAAAAACACAAAAAATTAAGTTTTCGGTCAAATTAAACCCAAAATTATTATCTGATCATCAACGAAAATTATAGGCGTTATCCTTGACCATACCTAGATCCTCACGGAAAATTTCAAAGCGATCGTGCTATATTTCCTCCCTTTAATGGTAATGGTTTACCAAATAATATCTGAATGTGTAAGCACCTGTATATATTTAAGTGTAACTCCTACATCCCAAACGGCTTCTCTTGGATATATCATCAACTTCTCGGATCTATGTCTTTCAGAAGTAAATATATACGCTAATGACTACAAATTTTGAAAATTTTCACACAAACGTCGGGGTCCGTTTGACCCGCTAAATGTTGACCCGCTAAAAACAGTCATGCTTATTCTTTGGCCCGATCCCATTCTCCATGTAAAAATTCGCAATGTTTGGGCAATAATTGCTGCCTCTGGAGCGACCAGAAAATCAGACAAAACCAGTAAGGAAAGTAGTAAAGTCGGACGGGGCCGACTATATGATACCCTTCACCACTTTAGGTATATTCAACAGATGATGCCTAACAAACGTCGTATTGTAAAAGGACCAGTAAAATGAAATTGGATCCATAAACATGTCATTCTGCAACCGTTACTAAATTTTTCATTTGGTCAGATATACAAGCTATATCTAAATCTGAACCGATTTTCACGAAACTTAGCACCCATCATTCTGGATCTAATTCAGTACTCTATATCAAATCTCGTGCAATTCGAATGATATATAGGGACTTTGGTGCACCATTTACCTTAAATCGGACAACACTATATATGGGAGCTATATCTAAATCTGAACCGAGTTTCTCGAAACTTGGCACACATCATTCTGGATCTAATTCAGTACTCTGTGCCAAATTTCGTGCAAATCGAAAGATATAGGGGGACTTTGGTGCCCCATTTACCTTAAATCGGACGAAAATATATATGGGAGCTATATATAAACCTGAACCGATTTTCTCGAAATTTGGCACATATTATTCTGAACCTAATTCAGTACTCTGTGCCAAATTTGGTGCAAATCGAAAGATATAGAGGGACTTTGGTGCCCCATTTACCTTAAATCGGACGAAAATATATATGGGAGCTATATCTAAATCTGAACCGATTTTTACCAATTTCAATAGGTTTCGTCCTTGGGCCAAACCAGCATTGTGCCAAATTTCATCCAAATCGGATCATAAATGCGACCTGTACTTTGTTTACAATTTAACATCTAAAGACGGACAGACGGACGGACGGTCATGCATAAATCGACTCAGAAAGTGATTCTACGCATATTATCAAAAGGAACCATGTGTCTATCTCGTTTCCTTTTGCCTGTTACAAACATATGCACAAAGACTTAATACCCTGTACCACAGTGTGGTGAAGGGTTTAAGAAAATGAATTCGGTCCATATCAGCCCTTTAATATTAACCGATCTTTACCAAAAACAGTAGGGGTCTTCATTGGCCAGAACCCATCCTACATGCAAAATTTCCTAAAGATTGGTCCATAACTGTGGCCTGTATCGTGTTTACAAATTATAATGGACGGACGGGCGGACGGTCACACATGTCTAGATCGACTCAGATAGTTTAGATATGACGATCGGTACCTAAAGGTGGGTCTAGGACCAATATATCGCGGCGTTACAAACTTTTGGGGCTGCACAGAGCTATAATACCCTGACATCATAGTTGTATAATGCCTCAACAATTTTTTTTAACATCTACGCCTTTTTAGAAAAATGTTCTCAGTGTGTATTCTTTCTCTTCTTCCCCTGCATTTCCCCTGCCTAGTTCCTTTATAAAAATTCTTCGAATTTTAACTCCGATAGGCTCAGTAATAGAAAATGATTTCATTGTATAATATAATATTGGAAGA